CCGGCTACAACCAAGTAGCATAGCATGGGAACATCCTCCCTAGGGATGAAAACGGTCAGAAACGGTCGAAAAACCTCTCAACCGTTTTCTACTTCTACATTTTGAATACGAAAACGAAAACGAAAGCGGTAAAACCAGACACGAAAACGAACACGAACTTACGGAATATCAAAAATTTCGAAAACGAACTAATTCGAGCGGAATTATATCGAACACGGTCGGTATACGAAAAATCAATACGGAATATTGACCCGTAGGACCAAGTGCATAACAATTAATAAGTACATAATAATTAACAAGTCCTACAACTTTCTTAAAAAGTATCTCCATTCGACACGACGTAAGGAAGATATGATTTTTTAAGGCAACAAGCGCTTGTACGCGATTAATATATCGCTGACTTTATTTAATTTTTTTAACATCTTCAAGACATCAAATGAAAAAACTAAGAACTAGAAAGTTGTAGATCTCGTTGAGAGCTACAATTTTCATATAAAAATCATCTTCATCCGAGATCGTATGAAAAAGATATAATTTTTCTAAGGTTGTACTCGTAGTGGACCAAATTTGGTTTAAACCGAATTTCGAAACCGAATTTCGAATTCAGGATATTCCGAATTAAAAGTAGAAAAGTAGAAATCGGTCGAACAAAGCCTAAACCGAATTCGATCCGATTTCGAATTTGGTGTTCCGAATTTCGAATTCGAATTTAGTATTCTGTATTTTGTTCAAAAATACGAATTCATTCGGGTCAAATGTAGAAAACGATGCGGTTCGATTCGGGATATTTCCTTTCCGTTTTCATGCTTAATCCTCCCTCCCTGCTTTGGCCAACGCCCAAGCGCCTACCATCACGTACGTAGATTAGTCCCTTGTCCCGCGACGGACTGTGGCAGGGGACGGGCGCCAACGCGATTGGACGGATCCGATATAGAAATTCAAAGAAATTCAAAGTGGGTTTATTGTTTATATATACTTCATTCATCTTTCATATTTCATATTTCTACTTCACGTGTTCCTGAAATAAGATAAGGTTAAGATTATAATAATACTTGCAATGTATGCAATATACTTGTTAAGTGCATATGCTTCCTATAGAAAGCATTCTTCGCATAATGCGTGACAGTTCTACAATGTCTACGGAGAGAACTTCCTAGAATATTAGCCTTGATCAGAATTCTAGAGATAGAATTCAAAACGATATGATCTACAAACTAGCCAATAATTTGTCTACGAGACATACGATGTACTCTTTTTTATTTGGTGAGTTTTCTAGAAATTTCTCATGTAAGATTTTTAATGAGATAACAATATGCAAACATATATTTTTTGTGACAAAAGAAGAATTATATTAGATAATAGCTGAGTACATCAACAAGCTACAAGCACTCTGGACTACACAAATATCCAAAAACTGATTTTCATCTAAATTGTAGCCAGCTGTGAATAGCTCCAGATCTCAAAACCAAACCTGGCACGGCTCAACCCCTCCGTTTTATCGAAAAAACGCTTGAGGGACGACGATCACAAAGACGAGCCGACCCTCGACCGGACCCCTGCTACGACGATCACAAAGTTGGACTCGCAAGGAGACCGAATGCGTGGTCGTCAGTATGACGGCAAACCGATCGGATCCTAAGGACAAGAATCAAGAAAAATCTTTTCGAACTCCCGAATCCTACGGTTGCATGCCCCAAAGAAGACCGATCGCGACAAAAGAGAACCGCTGTCCTATCAGGACACGTCGCGGGCAACAAAAAGAAGGTCAAGGCCATCAGAGTCCCCCCGTCCGGAAAAGCCTCCAAAGGAGTATTCTACTCCTCCGCAGTCTCGGAGGCTATTGTCGGGTATCGATATTAGGGATACCCAAAGTAAGAAAGAAAGCGCCTACGCTGGCTTCTCCAGATGGAGCAAGACGTACTAGAAGGTCTCGCCCGACCCATTGGGTATGGGCTCCGTCTCGCTTGACCCAAGGCTGCAAGCTCCGTCTCGTTCGACCTCGAGGCCGCAGGGGTCTCGCCTAAGGCCGCGGGCTCCGTCTCGCTCGACCCCTCGGGTGCGGGCTTTGTCTCGCTCGACCCCGAGGATGTGGGCTCCGTCTCGCCCAATCTCGAGGCGCGAGGCTCTGTCTCGCCCGACCCCTTGGGTGCGGGCTCTGTCTCGCCCGACCCCAAGGCCGCGAGCTCTGTCTCGCCCGACCTCGTGGCCGCGGGGGTCTGTCCCAAGGCCGCGGGCTTCGTCTCGCCCGACCTCGAGGCGACAGGCTCCGTCTCACCTGACCCCAATGACGCGGTTTCTGTCTCGCCCGACCCCTTGGGTGCGTGCTCCGTCTCGCCCGACCCCAATAACGCGGTTTCCGTCTCGTCTGACGGGGACCCATACCGCCACCAACCACTCCAGGTCCAAGCGTATGGGCCTGGGTCAAAGCTCTGACACCAGGAAAGAGACTGACACGCCTCGATGTAACCCGTGGCCATGACGGGCCATACCTAAGGATTCACATCAAGAATAGTGTCGGACGTGCCGGTGCTGTTCTGCCTAACCCTTTTGCGAACGCTGACAGGCGCGTCAGTTCACCATGACATCCGCCGAACGAGATGGAACGACATGACCGGCAGATGACGCCTGCGTATGGCGCCAGTGATGAACAGGGCCGCGGCGTGGAGCCGTCCCTGCTGACATCTACAGGATCGGCGGGACCCGCGTGAAGGAGAAGAAGGATCCGACGATCCTGTAAGCCTTCTTCTTTCTCTCGTTCTTCTCCTTTTCCTCCACCGTAACCGGCGCTTTTCCTTCGCCTATAAAAGAGAAAGCAGGACGCCCCACGGAGTGGGGCCGCACCATGAGATAAAAACACAATAGCACGACACGAACACACAGCTGAGCGGCAATCGAGCTCTCAGCACCTGTTCACTCATTCCACCAGAGACTTGGGATCCTCTCCCTCTCTCGCCTGTTTGTAACCCCTACCGTAAACCAAGTGCCGGTAATACGACCAGCAGCAAACTGGACGTAGGGACGTTCCGCCCGAACCAGTATAAACCCTTGTATCCTCCGAGCACACCATCCGAGCTAGACGCGCAAATATAAATTTACTCGTCGGTGGTCCGAAAACACCGACATCTTTCCACGGGCGAACTATTAGTACTAATAGTCTACCAAAAAACGACTTTCAAGTTACAGTACAAGCTACAAGTTTTGTACCATTTATAGAGGAGCTTATAAAAATGAAAAGAAATACAGAAAAATCCTAAAATATCAAAATCAGTTTTGTTAGGTCACTGATATTTAAATCTATATTAAAAAAAATACAAAACTGCATGTTACTTTTGGATAAGTAGAACATTTTAAATAAATAAAATATCATATATTGATTTTGTATTTTACAAGCATACATATATAACATAACATGCAGTTAACCTAATAAAACTCTATATTTTCTTTTGATTTTTGTAAACTCCTGTAGAAATGGTAAAAAAAACTTGTTAGCTTGTACTTGTAACCTGAAGTTCGTTCTTTGGTAGTACGATTAGTACCAATCGTCCACCCGTGGAACGATAAGAAGTAATCAATTTCCCGTATACACACCAACTATTTTTCGGCGTCGTCCTTCAATTGGACGAATCAAGAAGTCCAACGTACGGTAGAACCATTACTCCAGTTTGTCTCCGGTAGAATGACTTCCTTGCTAATCGTTTCGCGTGGAACGTTTGCATGCATGTAATCGTTTTACCATATAATTTCTTAGGTCTATAGTATATTTTTGTATTTAACGAATAAAATAATAATAATAAATAAAAAATTCGGGCCTGTATACACACGGGACAAGGAAAGGTACGGACCGGCGTCTGCGTAGTCTATTTTACCACGGAGTATTATCTAGCAGTTTTTCAACGTGATCCCTCACCCTCGTAAAACTATCATATCGAGGAGATTGAGTTATTTTCATACTCCAGCGGCTTTCTAAAAATCTCTCTTTTCCTGGTGGCTCCAAAAAAAACTCCTCTTATTTATATAAAGGGAGAGGTGGGTCTCCCCTAATAAAATGAACCCCATAATAACTACCTCTTCTTATCTGCCGGCGCGAGCACAAAGCTGGTAGTCGACGTCGTCGACGCCCTGCGATCCTATCGTGCTCCCTCTTCCCCTACTTCATGCTCGTTGCCCTCAAGGCCAGTGCAGTGGCGGAGCCACCGCCCGGCCACCCCAGCCGGGCTCCTCAGCAAACTTCAAAAGAAAAATCCCTATATATCAAAGAAAAATGTTATAATTTGCTAGGTAAATATTATTGTACAATGAGGATCGTCCGGGCTTCGAAAAACTTCTGGCTCCGCCACTGGGCCAGCGGCTTTCTCTGCGGCCTCATCATGCTGCTCCTCTATTCTACCATCCGCTTCAGCGGCAGCGACTTGGAGGCCATGGCCACGGTCTCGTGGAGGCTCCTGGAGGCCGTGGCGGCCGAGGCCATGCGGTGGGTCGGTGACCCGCGGGCGCAGGTGGTATGGACCAGTGCCATGCTGCTGGTCATGGTGGGCGCGAGCGGTATGCCATTGGATCTAGCATGCTATAGGAAGAGGGAGAGAGAGGACAGACTGTGAAAGAAGAAAAACCTAACAGTTAGGTCGCACGTATTGGGGACATTGTTGACGGTCTACTCAGTTACTATGCATGCTGTACCAAACATGGCCATTAAGCGTTGGCCTTGTATACAAGGCATCGAACGACTTTTTGTTATGCGAAATTCGTGCACATACTGTGATTTAAATTTCCGTCCATGCGTTGACTAATACACTGCTTCATTGACTATCTAGAACGCCACTCCACGTACACACGGTTATCTGTCATGAGGTTTTTGAACGTTCGACGGAGCTCTATAAATAGACGCATGCACAAACATAGTCGCCACACAACACAATAAGCAATATACATAGCCGGTTGATCGGGAGAGCGTGGTAGCACATATATACAGGGAGAGGACGATCATGATGAAAGTGCAGAGGATGGGAGGGGTTGTGTTGGCAGCAGCAGTGCTACTGGCTCCCGTGGTGGCCGTGGGGGCGGCGCCACTCGTGCCGGTGACGGACAAGGACCTGGAGTCGGACGCCAGCATGTGGAACCTATACGAGAGGTGGTGCAGCGTGTACTCGTCGGGGTCGCCGGACCTCGCGGAGAAGGCGCGCAAGTTCGAGACGTTCAAGGCGAACGCTAGGCACATCAACGAGTTCAACAAGAGGGAGGACGTGCCGTACAAGCTCGGCCTCAACCAGTTCTCCGACTTGACCGAGGAGGAGTTTGACAGCGGCATGTACACCGGAGCCTTGCCCGAAGACGCCGGCAACGTCAGCAGTGGCATGACCGACGACGATAAGCTGCTGGCCTAACTCTGTGTATGCTGCTTACGTGCATGTGTACATACATACACAAACTGTACGCATAACTAATAAATAAATAAACGAGTAAGTAACAATCGAATAAATAATTAGTGTAGAGATTATGTGTATGTGTGTGTATATATATGGTTTGAATAAAACAGTGTGTTGTTTAAATAAATCTTTCTCCTATTGCAAGTTCATTACAATATACTAGTGCTCTACCTACTTCTCCTTTCTTAATAAGTATGTGTTTGAATTGGGAGTACGAGGTTAAGAGAGGTGAGGGGTTTTTGAAGCGGTGGTGATTCTCTATAGTAGTGGTCGGACTGAGAGGAATATCTAAGAGACTATACTACTTTAATTATCCATAAGACTATACTACTCAAAACAATATTCTTCTATTATAGATTTACCATTTTCCTCTTAATTACATTAAAAAATTTTGAAACAAAATATTTTTTTTTCTGATGATAATCCCTTCAATTTAGTAGGCACTGCCTATGGTCCCATCGGCATCATATTGCTCCTCACTGGCCGTCCAATTTTCATTAACCATCTCCTACAACTAAAAAGAACAAAGCGTGGACACTTTTTTGTGCGACATTCCAATATGGGCCCAAAGTCCTACCTGCTGAGTTCCCGCAACCCTCGCTCCTACACCCATCCCTTGCAACAAAATTGTTCCTTCCAAATTAGTCATGCACAATTATAGCAATACAATTTGCTAAATGAGGACTATATATAGGAATGATTGATTATAGACCAATCTTTCGTTTTTTTTTGAAGGAAGAAAGAATATTAAGGATTACGTGAAACTGAGCAACCAGACCACCTTCCATGCACGGCGCCACAATGGTGCATGCAAACAGGAATCGTGCATGTGCAATAAAAAAAGAATAAAACTAAGACAAGTGCGATAATTTTTGGTTCGTCGCTCTACCCTACTCCCGTGCGATCTCCTCCCCGCTCGCTTGCCCTCGGCGCGCGCACGTGATCTCCTCCTCCAATCACACGATCTTCGATGCCTCGCTTACATCCCGTGCGCCCCTCCCCATGCGAGATCTCGCCTCCAATCAGGCTTCCTCTCCCTCGGCCCTCGCCCTCGCCTTGGCCGTCGCGCGCGCTCACCCATGCCGCCTCCTCTTCCGCGCCGCCGCGCCCGCGCGCTCGCCTACGCCGCCGCCTTCTCATGCCGTGGCTAAGAGAGGAGCTCGTCGACCCACTCCCGTTGCGCATGCGGATGCGATGGCTGGCCCTGCCAACAGGTAGGCGCGCGGATACAGGACGGAGCGACGGCGACTGCGCTTCGAGCACTAGCAAGCTCGAGGCAGAAGCGCTGGGTAGAGGGTGCCCTCATCCTCATCTTCCTCGCCAAGTGTGGGGCTCCCCCAAGTCTACCTCGCCACCGTCCTCGAGTACCTCGTAGTTGTCGTCACCGTTGTGACACAGAAGTTCGTGTCCCCTCCTTCTCGATCTCCATCTTCCTTTTTGTCCATCTGCCTTCTTCTTAATCTCGATCCGATGTCCTACGTCAATTTGGTTGTTGCGCTCTTCTCGACCTGGTTGGACAACAAATCGGTTTGTTTAGGTCTTGGCTAACATCTTTACTCGTTTCTCACCGATGTACAGACCTTGCCGGGATGACGAACGCACGCACCAGAGAGCAATGGTGAACGGCGCCAAGCCATCCAGTCAAAATGAGCCCAATGCCCCTAACGCCTGGTGCTTCCCCACCTGCGGCATCTGCTAGTCATCCATGATGCTATTGATCTAGTGTCTTCCGTTGACACTCCTCAGGTCAAAGAAACCCCAGCTTCAACCATGATGTCATACAACACTACCGGAGACGCCCTCTTTGCCGAGGGCCCAGGGCACTCGGCAAAGGCTTTGCCGAGTGCCGCCCTCGACAAAGAGCCCTCAGGAAAAAATTAACGGCAAAGAGGCTTTTTGCCGAGGGCCATTTGTCGGGCACTCGGCAAAGCCTTTTCCGAGGGCCAACGGCGGCGCTCGGCAAAGAAAAGCAGCCGTCAACGACGCTGCTCCGTTGACGGCGCCTTTGCTGAGTGCCGATAGTAGGGCACTCGGCAAAGACATTTTTTATTTTTTTTCAAAAACTCTTTGCCGAGTGCCACGGCGGCAAGGCACTCGGCAAAGACATTTTTTTAAAAAGCTCTTGGCCGAGTGCCTCCCAGCCTGGCACTCGGCAAAGATTTTTTGTTTTTTTTAAAAAAAAACTTTGCCGAGCGCAATGTCCTGTCACTCGGCAAAGTTTCCCAGCTTTGCCGAGTGCCATGACCATTGCACTCGGCAAATCAACCGAAACTGCAATTTTTTTTGTTTTTGCATTCCACTGACACAAACAATTCAAATATATATCACATGCCACATATATATCACAAACATCACAATAATCACATATATATCACAACGAAACCATTTTCACACATTATATCACAACCACAAGTCACAAATTCACAAACACAGTCCATCAAGTCAAAGCACAAGTCACAACCACAAGTGAAGCTCAAGTCCAAGCACATGACGAAGCACAACTCCTCAAAAAAGCGGCCTATGACACGATGGTTCATTCGGTGACGCATCAGCGGGGTTATTCGAACCCGCCGACGGAAGCTGCAAAAAGGATAAGAGGTTGCATGTGTGAGATTCATCTAGTAAGTTTCTATGTGAAGCATTGGTGTATGTCATAGCTAGTGCAAGCATGTAGTAAGTTTCTATGTCAAGCATCTAGTAAGTTTCTATGTCAAGCATCTAGTAAGTTTATATGTCAACCATGGTTGTATGTCAAGGAAGCATCTAGTAAGAGTGAACTTTCATACTTACAGGAGTGGCTGTAGGAGTAGGAGGTGGAGGTGCTACCAACGGCAAAGGTACACCCCCTTGCTGGACACTCCGCATGAAGGCCTCCATTTCTTGCATCCTCCTCTCCTGGGCCACGAACGCTTCCCTCTGGGCCTGCAGCTGCGCACTCTGAGCCTCGACCATGAGCTTTTGGGCCTGTAGCTCGGCCTGCAATACAAACTTCAATGTTTCAGTAATGCAAATGTAACTTAGGTGTGCAAAGATGAACATACAACGAGTAAAACAGGACGTACCTCGAGAGCGTCGACCCGCTGCAGTGACTGAGTAGGCCGTGGGCGTATGGGCTGGCTGGAGCTCGTGCTCCGTGCTCGGAGCACGTCGAGAGAGGGAACAGTGGTGGAGTCGATGGCGTCGTCTACAATCCATAGCCGCCCATGCTTCTTGCCTCCTCCTAGCCTCATGATGGTCTCTGCATCAATGGGCTCAGTGCCCACATCGTAATCTTCCCCATGGACCTCCCTCACCTTTGAGGTGTACTCTTGAACCTTAGTGTGCACGGTCGGGTCGGAGTACACCTCGCGCGGGGCAGACGGGTCGAAGGAGACAGAGGAAGACGCCCTGCCCATGTGGGACATAGCCCACACAGAGAACTCCGAGACCTCCACACCTGGGTGTGCAGCCTCCTGCGAGTAAGACGGCAAGATGGTGAGAAATAAGGCAGAACTCAGCGTCAAATAAGATAAAAGAAATCACTTACATATGCTTGTTTGTAGGCAGGGAGGCTGCGGCTGCCTTGATGGTGAGTAGCACCTCGCCTCAGCAAACGCTGGTCCCGCTGCCTCGCGTGGTTCTCAGCAAAGTCGTTGGACAACCACCTGTCCACGATCATCTCCCAGCACACGGAGTGGGATCGGCACCACCAGGGAATCACCTACAAGTCATCGATTATTTGACATAGAAAAAGATAAAATTAAACCGACTTAATCTCAAAACGAATCATTATTAATGTTTTTTGTCTACCTCAAGGTACTGGGCCCGGGACAGCTCCACCTATCTTGCATCAGGCTTGCTGATGGACTGCTTCAACACCACGGCGTAGTAGTCTCTGTGGGTCTGCATGCGCGCCTCATGGTGCATGTCGGTGACGTACTTCCTACAGGCGGCGGCAGCTGCCTGATCCACCCGGGCCTCAAGTCCTTCTTCCGGCTTGAAATACATCTGCTTACAAAACCGATGTATCCATTCATTATTTCAATAAAAGACTTGCCCAATGAAAATGTTGTGCGAGAGAGACTTACCCAAAACTCCGCCAGTACCCGCTCCTGCTTGTTGCGGTACCTGTCGTCAGGGGCCAACTGGTACCTGTCCCACGTGTAGGTCGGCTCCTGCACGTCCTCGGACACGTTCACAAGTTCGGGGTACCATTTCCTGCACAAGACACCAAGGATGCTCGCAGGGGAGCGTGCAGAAGTACCCGATAAAACCAACCAGGCCCTGCACAAGTGATTAAGAAAATTTATTAGTTCCTCTTTTGATTTCCAACATTATCATATGAAGTAGTTATGATAACATCTATAGTTACTTACCTCTTTGCCATAGGGCGAATCAGTGCCTGGTTGTGAGGAAGCGGAGGCTGAGGGAGGCTCGTGGGACCTCGCTGGTAGACAGTCGGGGTAGCGGAACTGTCGCCCTCGGCTGCCTCGTCCTCGGCCGCCTCGTCCTAGGTCTGTCGGACGTCCTCGTCCTCAACCTCGCCCTCAGGCATGGCCGTCACGTGCTCCTCCTCCATCACCTCGTCTGAAGGAGGCGGGTAAGGAGTCCGCTGCCTCCTGCTGACCCTGGTCCTCCTCTGACCTCCTGTGGACGCTACCCCTAACCCCAACCCCTCGTCTAAAATGGGAGGGCGTGGTCTCCCGTAAAGGGAGGCCATCTCACGTCGTGGACGGCTGCTCGCCATCACCTGCAATCACAAAGAATGAACAAGACTTATTAGTATATATATTAGAAATAGATTCAAAATAAATAAAGAAAACACAAACTAAAACAAACGTAGTATTACTTGTATTAGGAATAATCTTCATGATTAGGATCATAGGTGTCGTCATCACTATCAAAATTGTCCAAATGGGCAACACTATCTGAAGGTTCTATGTTGTCTTCGTTGTCAATGCCTAGCCTTAATCGGTCAA